CTTCAACCTTCTTCAGGCGAAAATGATTCGAGCTGTAGAACTAAACCGAGAAAGTACAATATTTTATAAGAGTGTACAGCTGCTGACGTATGCCGATGGTATTGACATCATTGGTCTTAACAACCGCGCCGTTAGTTCTGATTTCACCAGAATGGATAAGGCAGCGAAGCAAATGGGTCTGGTGGTGAATGAGGGCAAGACGAAATATCTCCTGTCATCAATCAAACAGTCTTCGCACTCGCGACTTTACTCTCACGACATTGTTGACAGTCATAACTTCGAAGTTGTAGATAATGTCGTCTATCTTGGAACATGCATCAACACCAAAAACAACATCAGCCTAGAAATTCGAGACAGAATATCTTTTGCCAACAAGTCCTACTTCGGACTGAGTAGGCAATTGAGAATAAAGTCCTCTCTTGATCAACATAAACAAAACTTTTTAAGTCTATAAGTGCGAGTTTTCGAGAGGAAAGTTATGCGAAAGATCTATGGTCCTTGGCGCGTTGGCCACGGCGAATATCGCATTCGGTGGAAAGATGAGCTGTATGAGATATACGACGACATTGACTTAGTTCAGCGAATTAAAAAGCAGCGGCTATTAGGTCATGTCGTCCCAATGGGCTAAAACATTTCCGCTCTGAATGTATTCGACGAAGTATAATATTATTCTCCGAATTTGGTTGAAATCGGTTGAGCAAGTCTCAAAATATGGATTTTCACCAAAATGTGAGCGGTGCCACGCCTATCGTCCAATTTCGATAATTGCTTAAACTGCAAAACCTCTCTAATGCGATTTCGTATACCAAATTAAAGTAGTTTATCTTGTTGCAGAGCTTAGTTATGGTAGTTTATTGTTTCTCGATTACGCCCAGTTTGTTCAAATTGAATTTTATTTTCCATGCATTTGCTTGAAATCGGTTGAACACTTTTTTAAACGGTATCAAGAATTAGAGTTATACATGTGCATTTGTATCTGTTGTATCTGTATTCTTAGAGATATATAAAAATTGCGTATCACAATTTGTTCCGGGTAAACTCCTAAACTACTTAACCAAGTTTAATAAAATTTTGCACTACTTAATATTTATAAAATTTTGCAATATTTAATATCAGAATTATGTTAAAAGTCAAAACAATTCATAAATACAACAAGTTATATTTTTACATGTGCGCTCCAAATAGTAATATTACGATTCTTTTGGCGCCGCGATTTGATGATACGGATGGATGGAGATCTAGTTTTATTCGTCGCATCGGGTCATGCTATACCTTTTTGGAAAGCCCATTTCACGCCATAACACGTGTTTGATTGATTATCGTTTCTTTTAAGTCGTTCGTGAGTTATAGTGTCGCAAACATGGAGCAAAATAAAGAGAAAATACGGCATATTTTACAGTACTATACGATAAAGGCAAAAATGCATCTCAAGCCACCAATAAAATTTGAGCAGTTTATAGACCCGAATTGCGATAAAATCGCTGAATTGGTCGAAAGATACTGGCATAGTAGCAGCCGTAGCATCGGTCAAGAGCTGGGTATGAGTCATCAATAAAAATACCGCAAGATTGTTTTGACAACCTAATACATATGTATGTATGTACATATATTTAATTACACTGTACACTTTCAAATATATCAAAAATTTACACTAATTGTGTATTTTTTAAGAGAATAAATATATTTCGAAAACTATTTTGCACATTCAAACTTTCAAAAGATTTGTGTGTTTACAATTATGACAAATAGCAGTGTTGCCATACTTTGTAATATTTTATTTTGATAATATAATCAAAAATTTTTCTGTTTCATATATTTATATGGATTATATAATACTAGAAAAATATTATTATAAAATATTTAGTAAATACCGATTTTATATTGCCAATGGAAATTCCGAAATTTTCAACACAAAAGAACTATGAACACCCCGGTGTTGGACCGACCAGAGTTATTTTTTTTTGAAGCGTGGGCGAAGGCCTCCAGTGCAGAAAGTAGTTCGACAAAAAAAAAATTAACAGAACACAATATGTCGCAACACTGCTATTTGTCATGACATGTAAATAAAAAATAAATGAAAGTGAATTGCAAATATCTCGTAAACGATAAGTCTGAGAAGGGTATATGTGTATACATTTTTTAATCCAGGGATTGTCCTCCTTTAGATTATACCCTCAAATCGCGGCGCCAAGAGAATCGTAATCGTGCTCTCAAGATTAAAAAAATAAATAATTGTTGTTATTAATTAGGAGTAAAATGTCAAATCGACATTCATTACTTTTTCCATTGACAAAAATATGTAGCACTCATTATACCCTGAATAGGGTATATTAAGTTTTTCTCGAAGTTTGTAACACCCAGAAGGAAGCTTCGGAGACCCTATAAAATATATATATAAATGATCAGTAGTATCAGAGCTGAGTCGATTTGCAGACGTCATTTGCTCTTCAAGAAGCTGCTCAACTGCCGATATTGGACCGCTATAACATATAGCTGCCATACAAACTCAATGATCGGAATCTAGTGCTGGTATGGAAAACTTTTGCATTTGACAATATGTATTCACCAAATTTAGGATAGATTATTTTCTAAGGCAACAATGTAATCTCCTAAGAAACTGAATGATCGGAAACAAATGCTGGCATAGGAAACTTCCTCATTTAACGATATATCTTCACGAAAATTAGTATGATCTATTGTTTATAGAAATAGTGTAATATCGAAAGATATTGTTCAGATCGGCTCACTACAGCATATAGTTGCCACACAAACCTAACGATCGGAATCAAGGGATTGGATAGGAAACTTTCGCATTTTTCGTTGTATCTCCACGAAATTTGACATGAATTACTGTTTAACGTATTAACATAATCTCCGAAGAAATTGTCCAGATCGAATTACTATAGCGTATAGTTACCATACTAACTGAATGATTGGAATCAAATACTTGTATGGGAAACTTCCTCAGTTGACGTGTTGTCTTCACGAAATTTGGTATGAGAAATAAATAGTTGCCATACAAACCGAACGATCGGAATCAAGGGGTTGTATGAAAAACTTTCGCATTTGTCGTGGTATCTTCACAAAATTTGACATGAATTATTGCTTAAAGTAACAATATAATCTCCGAAAAAAATTTTTCAGATCGGACTACTATAGCATATAGCTTCCATACAAACTGGACACATAGTTACTAAAAGCAATACTGATGCGAAGGGTTTATTAGCTTCAGTGCAGCCGAAGTTCACGGTTTTTCTTGTTTTATACCGACAGAATCGTTTTCGCCATTATTCGACATTTTCATTCAATTCAAATTCAATGTTTTCGAAAGATGCGGTGATTTGGACCGAATGTTCGCTGAAATTAATTTCCATTATGAAACTAACTTAAATTTTTGAATAGAAAATGGCATATGTATGTTTTTTTTCCAGATATTGTACGAATTACGAAAGTTAAAAGATAAAGTGAAAAGGAAAAGCATGAAAACTTAGTAATATAGCAGTCAATGCACTTGGTGAGAAAACGAGTAAAAAACGCATTAATAAATAATCAATTAAATGCAAAGCAACGAAAATCCTATATCAAGTGTAAAAGAAAAATCATTGAACTGTCTAGTCGATCCGTAGATATGTGAAGAATAATAAGCAAAGATGCTGCGACTAAACGTTTAGCTTTTTGAGCGCATGGCGACAATAACGGTGTCACTGACATTAATAACCTGGAATTAGATGGAAGGAAAACCTACGCAAGTAAAAAAAATATATGCATACTTGTGCTCTTTAATTGTATGAGAACGTTTAAACATGATTAAGAGGCTATACATACTACAGTACAATGCAGTAAACGTAATGACGTCCGCTTGGAATGCAAAGCATGAATCCTCAGTATACTCACTTTTTTGCTTAAAACCTGATTCAAATTTTCACACGTCCTTTTCTTCCCAAAATCATGACACTAATAAAATGTTTAATGCCAACATACTTATGTATATGAGGATTATATACAAGTATGTATAACTAAATATACCACGAACATCTCAATGTTTCAAATAATGTATTGATCATATTACAGAAATATAGAAGAAAAAGGTTTGGAGACTATTTCATTAAAACAAAGTTTATGACCGGATAATAACTACAAGATTTACAAGTATTCATTCATTACCGCTAGGAACCGTGAGTGTTGAGAATATGCTGTTGCAGTGCTTCAAAGTAGCTGTGAACATTTTATTGATTTCGCGTTTCATGGCGCAGATATATGTACATACGTAAATATGTATCTATCTATCGGTATACAGAGTGACTACCAGCTGTAATAAAGAATAACATATTCTGAATAATATATACCTTATCGCTTAACTAATAAAAGACTATGTCGAATTATTGGTATTGAACTAAATTCTAGCACGGTTCTTTCATTAACAAAAACATCCAAATACATATTCCATATCATTTTATATATGTATGTAAGTATGTAGGTATACATATTTTTATGGATTTTAGGAATATATATTCAAACCACCTATTTAATGATGATGGTTAAGCTGGATTTATCTTTTAGTCTCAAATTCTTTGCTTATTTTAACAACACATGTAAATTTAAAATCATATTTAAAGTAATAATATCATAATATCCATATTTTAAAGCAGTAAAAATACAATACAACGAACAAACATAAAAATGAAAAGTCTCTCAAGTCTTACCTCAGAGAGCATTGTGCGCGCGCAACAACGGAGAAAATGAAAAGCATAAGGTCAGCCCGGTATATCTTATGGACTCTCTCTCCCACTAATGCTCACACCTAACACCTCAAACCCCTTTAACAGTATATATAAAAGCATTATGTTATATTTAACATAGGATGTATGTATCTCCAATACTATGCAATACATTTACCATTCAGCGAATACGGTTGCTCCCTCGATAGTTGCAACAACTTTTAAGCAGCTATGAGACATTAGACGGTGTCTAAAGTTAGTCTTAAAATGGTGCTCACCAAGTTCTGTGCTACCTACCTACTGTAATTTTGTTCTCAAGTGTACAAAGTTACTTAAGTTTTGTGGTGCTTTTTGGTGCGTGCAGCTTATTTGTCTTGAAGAAGAGACAAAAATGTATATACTTGAATAAATACATAAACATATATAAGCTTTAAATTGAAAAATATTAAAGTTCTAAAAATAAAGTGTGATTTCGAAGTTTGTACTTTTAAAAGTGGAAGTGTTGTTAAAAATACAACACTACGCTAATTTTCAAAGGCTTGGAATTAAACAACTTAGTGCTTTTTAGACGCAACAAAAAGTGATAACGCAACGGTATTGTGTAAATTATTTAAACTGTAAAGGCAAAAGTTATTAAAGCGTAAAGTAAAAGTCTGTAATAGCGTGAATGAAAATTATACAATAAGCTGGTATTAGTGTAGTTTTATTAGGTCAATCACTAAAAGTTTTGCATCGCTGTTTACTTCGTACATACATATATCGTGCATATTCAACTCAATCACAATTGGCTGAATTTCATGTGTTTTTGTGTATTAAATAAACCAGCAGAAGCTTCTCGCAACACCTTATCGACTAAAGTTGTAAAAGCAAGTGACATTACACAAAGAATTGTTAACAGAGTGCAGCAAATCAATTTAGAAGGGGCAGTAACCAACGATACAAGCGGTAATAAATTTTAAACAAAAATGTTAATCACTCTATATGTTCATATTACATACGTAAGTATGTATGTATATATGTATACTATAAGGTTAAACGCTAACTGCGGTCCCTAGATAAAAGCGCAGCAGCAAATTACTGTCAAACATTCCTCATGCCTATAGATTTTGTGTGGTACTCACCTACATAAGAGCGGTGTCACCGGTAAGCTTTCGAAAATTCGATTTTGACAGCGCGTTAGGTAGTGAAGTTGGCCACACAATACGAAGAAATTGCAATTCGTTTTGAATTTAATTTTTGTACTATTTTTATAATTTAAGGGAGAATTTGACGTAAACTTGTCGCTTTATTTAGAGATGGTGTGTCGTGTTGAAGCTAACCACGCCGCTCAACGCTTTTTTTTTTTTTAGGTAGTATGCCAATAACTCCTCTACTCAATTCGAATCACTATCAAATTTGCTGCAAAAACGTCAATTTCTCGATATGTATTGCTTTATTTGAAATAGGAATAAATCAATTAGTATTTTAGTTGTTATTCAACCGATAGACAAAAATTATTAATACAGTGTTTATATAATAGAACCATGTTACTGCTTTATGTCAAAATTTACTTTGTAAAAAACTTCTACAGTGAAAAAATATATGTATACAAAATACGGTATTTCTTGCGGTATTTTTATTGAATTTTCAATTGTTCATAAAATTTTTTTTGATGACTCATGCCCATCTCTTGACCGATGCTATGGCTGCTACTATGCCTGTCTCTTTGAAACCATCGTTGTGCGGTGGAAATGGAAACTGTATCGGATTCATAAACTGCACAAATTTTATTGGCGGCTTGCTTCTCAAAATATATATCCCAGCTTAGATTATCGCGGTTATAGCCGTCATCTTATCCAAGTATAAACAAGTAAGGAAGGACTAAGTTCTGGTGCAACCGAACATTTTATACTCTTGCAACATGCAGGAATCGCAACCAGGGAAATACTTAAAGGTGTAACACCAATCCTATAGAGTAAAGTCAGCCGGATGTTTGAAAATCCTGAAATTAGTTATAAAGGACTAGTTGAAGTTTTCGCTCAAATTTATCTATTTTAGGCACACATATACACGTCATGAATAATACACGTTCTCTTATTTTCATTGGAATAACTCACATATTGACCGATATATGAGTTACAAAGTCACCCGGAAGTTCGAAAAACTTTGTAATAAGTATATGGGGGACATACAGACGTCCCTTTATAAAAGAAGGATTATCCCTTAATTTTAGTTGAACATATCATACATTGACCGACATTTTCGATCAATAGTCAACCATAGGTGCCGGGGTCTAAATATTCGGTACCTAGGAGCTGGAACAGTTTTATTGGACTTAAACAATTTTTGGGCATAAGGTGGCACATATGTACCAAAGTACATATTCGTGCAAAGTTTTATCCCGTTAATGAATGAAGCTGAACGAATCAAGTGGATTTTAAAATTGTGCTATGTGGGAAGTAGTCGTGGTTGTTGTCCGATTTCGTTGATGATTTACACAATGTGACATAAAAATGTAAGAAAAATGCTACGTACTTAAGTTTGTCGAAATCGGTCAGTTGGGTCCAGAGATATGGTATTTCACAAAAAAATGGGCGGTGCAACGCCCATCATCCAATTTTCACACCGGCTCCAATAAAGCTCTCTCATACCATCTCAGTGGTATTAGTTATTGATTTAAGTTTTAAGTTTTTAACACTACTGTTATATGGCGATTGAGCGGGGTTATCCCGATTTCATCCATTTTCACACTGTCGGTAGGAGTTCTTATAAGAATTGGTTATTGGACGGATGTACGGACAGACAGACGATATATATATATATCCCTATATATATATCCCTATATCTATCTCGTTTAGTTTTAGGCTATACGTACAACCGTTAGGTGAACAAAACTATCATACTCTGTAGCAACTGGTTGCAAGAGTATAAAAATACATCTCTTCTGCTTTTTGGATAAAGTAATTAACGTAAGTTTTTTAAAAGTGACGTTACAAATAATGCGTAATAGATTAAGTCTTGTATTAGTATTCGATCTGAGCAGGAGAAAACTAAAATAACGGGCGTCTGAAACCTCATCAGCTAAAAAATATCCAAGGCATTATGTTGCAATTTCGAAACATTTGATTTTTCTACAACATCATGTGTTAATGTGTGTAATGCACAGTCAATGTAGTGCTGCAAACATTTCCACAACAGGTAACGGAATCACTTAGTGGGCTCTTGCACAGTAGAGTTTTGTATGTATGTATGTATGTACATATCCAGCCGCTGTCACTATCCGCTCCTAGCTAGTTAGCATGAGCAAGCTGCTCTCTTTAATTTTTGGTTTTTCCACATTACTTCTTTTCTCTTATTAAAGCTAAATAACAAGTTTGTTACCCTACTATTGCCTGTTCTGTTTTAGATTTTATGTCTGCAGTTTTGTTATTTTTTACCTTGTGATTATTATTATTTTTTTTAGTTTTAAGCCTTTTTGTGCACATCCAACGAAACGAAACGAAGTAAATGAAATGTTAACAATTAAATTCACACGTACATACAACACCTTCAAAAATATTTATTTATCATACAAGTGGAGAATTTATGTGTAATTTCACATAGCTTTGTGAAGCCTTTATAGCTAGGGTATTTGAGTAAAACCTTGCGTATTCATAGGCTTTTGACCGCTTTAAATTACCTGCTGTCATTTCTGGTAGGCGCAGATTTCTGCATCTGATGGTGTTTGTAGAAAAATTAATATATTTACATGGTTGCACATACTTATGCACATACAACATAATATTATGTGTGTATTTAGATAATTGGTATAAATAATTAAACAGTTTACTAAGAAGGAAAGGAAGTAAGCGTGAAGCCATTGTTTTACTAGTATCTAATTATTCGAAAGTATTAAAGATATACTATGCATTCTTTTTTGTTGAGGCGGAGTGAGAAGAGAGGTGCAGAGTATATGTGACAGCAAATCGTTTACAATTTTGTTGATTTCTACACTTTCTTTATTCTTTTTTACACTTATGGCATCTTTCAAATATTTACTTCAACAAAACTGAAGCTTGTAAACACAAAAGAGAATGAGAAAGGTGTGAATCAAGTTGGCGGTGATTATTAAGCTCTCAATAAGATAATTTAAAACATTATTCGATATTCTTAGGCATATACTTTTGATGATTTTATATTGCAAATAGGAAGAAATAAAAACTGGCTTTAATAGGAACAACTCTTTTATAATTAATGAGTATCCCAAAACTCAAATAACAGATATTGTTGTGTGAAGTAGAGAAAATAAACAGAAAAGACGCATAAACATCTGCATTAAAACTGCTGATGATAAAAAGTGGTGAATACTTAAATACTTCGAAAAGCAACAAGAAAATTGGTTACTATACAATACACATCAGTCGTATGTTATTCACCCAGTATTCATATTTTATACTTATGTATGTTAATACATATATCCGACTTTGCATTAGTTTTCTATCTATTGACCGCATTGCCGATAGACCTTCGATCAATTGTGTTTGGATAACAAAAAACATTCTGCTCAAACAAGTTTTGCATACGAACAAAAACTTCTCTGTTTTGTTTTTATCTGTTAGTTAAGCAAGAAAAACGTTAACTTCATCGAACCTATAGCACCCTTCATAAGGGAATTTCTTATACCATAAAAGAATAATAATGATCTTTGCCTTGATTTTGATCGATCATATATGCATTGTCAAATAAAAACGTTCTCCATAAAAGAACTTGATTTTAATCGATCTGTCTGGCAGCTATATGCCATTATATACATGTTGAACAAACTTTTGGGTGATATAGTAGCTTTGCCTTGGATAATAATCCATGCCAAATCTGAAAATATCTTGTCAAATAAAAAATATGTATTTCTATACAAGGACTGAATGTATTGTCAGCTATATGCTGTAGTGTCCTATAGAGCTGACTCCGAGAAATGGTCAGCTTCTTGAGTAGAAAAGACGTGTGAAAACCAATTTGCGTACATACAAAACGACGACACCCACTGACAAAATACCTCATTTTGAATTCCATACGCACTTTAAAAGAAATCAATCAAGGATAAATAAAAATATATGACAAACATTTCATTCCAAACCAATTGAGTCATTAGCAAAAAAGTAATTTCTGCAATTTTTAAAGTATACCTCCAAAATCAAAATATTTTCCTTCGAATCTCAAAATTAAGCTTATATCAAGCAGTATTCGTTAGTTATAGTATGTGAGTAATTTAAAAAGTACAAATTTGAACAACAATTATTCTTTCTTTTTATTTCTATGGGGTACAAGAATTTTCTGTTAGGCTTATATGACAGGCTATGGTAAAAGCCACCGAAGTTAGGTTCTCAAAAAAAAAACGAAAATTTTTGTAAAAATTTTAATATCCTGATGGAAGCCATTTGGAAAGGAAAGTCGTGATGAATAGAGAATTTTTCGCCTAATTGCGGTTCCGTGGGTACCGTGTAAAAAAAAAAGAAATTAAGACTCATGAAAGGTAATATGTGTAAAATTCGAAAGAGTAAATTTGGATGAGGTCTACGAACAATAATAACATCATATTTATTGTGAAGATTCAAAGTAATTTTTGCTCAAAGTTTTATACGAAAAGTATAAAAGTATGCATATCAGGAGAAAGGACGCTTCATCATTTTTAACAATATTTCATATAAGCTTGACTGTTTGGTAATTGGCATATTAAAATTAATAATGGCATTTGAAATAAATTTAATTTTGAACGCAGATATTTTGCAGACTAGCTTCGGAGAACGGTGAAAAATAAACACTTTTTACTTACTAAATTTCTGGAAAAAAGTCGGTTTGGTTCTATACCTATATTAATCTTGAATAGTGCTATATACAAGTATATTAGTATTAAAGAATTTAGTAATAAAAATTTAAACGCATGAATGAAATATTTTATCAATAATTAATCATCATATTTCTCTATATCT